CTCTCATGTTGCTTATATCCACTTTGTCTTCCCTTAAGGAGAGGTACCTACAACAAAACCCCGCATCTCTCTCTGCTTGCTTTAGGGAGGGGTAGACTCCAATCTGGCTTTGCTATGAGCATCTCCACACTCTAAAGAAGACCTTGGATCTTTCTCACTTCCTACTTCTCTCCTTGTCTAATATCTGCAAATGAGAGCCAGGTCCTGATGACTGGGTATCCCAGAGACCCACACAGAACCTAGTGCCCCAGAGCTTCCTGAGACGACCTCCTCCTCCTCTCTTCTCTTCCTCCTCCTTCTCCCTCTTCTTCCTCCTTCTTCTTCCTCTTCCTCCTCTTTTCTTATTGAATTTATTGGGGGGTGGCATTGGTTAATAAAATTATGTAGGTTTCAGGTATACAATTCTATAATATATCATCTGTATATTATACTATATGTTCACCATCCCAAATCAGTCTTCTTCCATCACCGTTTATCCCTCCTCCTCCTCCCCGTACCCACCTGTCTGGAACAGTCTAACACTAGAAGCTGAAGCTGTTTCCAGAGCCACTTTCCAATCACCCCTCCTTTTTTCTTTTATCTTTTCTGAATCTCCTTTTTTCTTTGATCTTTTCTGAATCTTTTATCTTTTTTCATTTTACTACCTTTTCCTTGAATGTATCATTTGCTTCCTCACTTCAATGTTCAGTGAAAACATCTCCCACTGCAGAGCAATGTCTTTCTGCCAGTGACACTGACTTCAAATCCCATCCCAAAGCCCGCATTCCTATCTCCCTCTGTGGCCCCATAAACTTGTGTATGTGTTTCTGTCACACCCAGTACCACAACCTGGGCTTTCATGCCCTTTCAAATCATCAATACTAACATCCTATGATTCCATGACTACTTTTTGCCTGACGATCCCCTAAATAATTCCTTGAATTGGGAAGTTCCTAAGTGTAGTTCATGTAAACATTTCAAGGGTACACTCTTCATTGAAGTCAGTGCACAAGCAGAATAGTCCCCTCCACTGTCCTTCGTTTGAGCCTTTGCACACCTCCCTGGAGTTGGCGATCTCTGCAGCAGGCTTTAAGATCTTTTTCTTTCATGATGGAGCAGGGTTCATATCCTATTTATTTCCCTTCCTATAGTCCATTTCAGAGTTGTTTTTGAAATGCTAATTGCTTTTTGTTGTTATCCTTACATTCAGATTATATTCAGTGCCCGTATTGTCTGAGGAGGTTTAATGAAAATGCAGCCAGTCGGCATATTAATTTCTGCAAGGATCAGTCTTCTCGCCGAGTCTTTGATGCCGCCCAGACAGCAGCCAAACTGGAGTCCAGAGTGCAGGTAAGCCTCTCTCCCAGGTGCCCTTGCAGGCCTGGTGCCAGCAGGTGGTTTGGTGGGGAAACTGCTACCCATCCTGGGAAATGTGAGCATCACCATAGCCGGTCACAGTCACCCATCCTCACGGGAGCAGGCTCCTTTTGAGTTCCCAGCTTACCACACCTCTGGGTGTTGTAGGAACAAAATATTTCTATAGCGTTTGCAGCTTAGAATGAAGACTTGAATATATAAGTGGAATTTTTATAGTATTATGATAAGGCTCTGTGTCCAATGGTGGTTATCAGCCTTCACCACCCCGAAAAGAGTTGTGACCCTCAAATGAAACTGGCCCTGCGTGGAGGAGGCCGCCACGGGAGATGGGTCCCAGGCCCTGCGATTTGCTCTGTAGAAGAAGGTGTTTTAAAAGCCACAGAATCAGCAAGTTAGAAAAATGGGAGCAACTGTTATAAATAGATACAAATAAGTAAGATGACAACAGAAGACAATCGATGGATAAAAACAGACAGAACCAGAGCCAGCAGGAACATCGCTTACCGTGGAGCATGAAAACTGTTCATTGTAAACATGGCTCGGACATCATGAAAAGATTCAATTGGTCTGAAGACTTAGGAGTAGGAAATATGTTTAGAAAGATTTCCATGAAATGCAGTTCCTCATGGGGATGGGGCCCCTTCCAGCCACAGCTCATCTGTGAGCCCCGGCTCCATCTGCACATGCATTAGACAGTCCTGAACGTCTCCTCTGAACCCGGCACTGGCGAGGTGCTGGCTGCTTGGAAAGGAGAAGACTTGGAAGCAAAGCTGTAGGAAGGGTGGTAGCTGACATATATAGGGGCATGGCGGAGGAAGTAGGCCACTGGATCCAGGGACAGCTTCAAAGAGGAGCAGACATTTCCCCTCCCAGATCCAGCTTGTGGCCTGAGGAGCCCAGCATGTGAGGTTAAAGCACAGGTGCCCCTGAGAGAGCGACGGGATGGATGGGGCCAGGAGGGCGTCGGATCTAGAAGGGCTTGGAGTCAAGCCAGTTCAGAGAGGAGGAAAAGGGGGATTGAGTGGAGAGGGGCCCTGAAAGCTGAGGCCCGCCAGCCCAAGGGCCTGGCAGCAGGGATTGGAAGGTCCCCAGGGGCCCAGGAAGTTCTCTTTCCATGTCCCGTCACCTCTTCCCACGATGCTCCTGCTTTCTCCCTGACTTTCTGGGCCTTCTGTCTACTTGTCTATGATCAGCTGCATGTGTCACCCTGTGGGCCGTGCTGACTGGTTGAACAGCATAGACTGAAGTGACATGGAATTGGTTTTTTAAGAAAGATTCCCCTTATAATTGGTGTTCAAGATGGATTGGCAGGAGGATGGTTACAAGCCACAGCAACAGGGAAAGAATTATGGGCTGGAATGAGAGCACTAATGGGGGTGGTTGGGTGGGGGATAATTTTAAGAAATAATTGATGGGACTGAGAAGATGGTTGGATATAGGGGGGGAAAGGGTCAGGATGGACAAGAAGGTTTTTAGCTCCAGAGCCTAGGCAGATTATAATACTGCACATCTAGATAAAAGAATGCAGGAGGGAGGGGATGGGTGTGTTGGTGGAGCAGGCAGGGTGGTTATGATAAATACTAGAGGCCCAGTGCACACAACTTCGTGCACAGAGGGGGGCGGTGGGGGCCGCGGGTGGTTGGCTGGCTGGCCCCGCCCCCAATTGGGATGTTGGGGGCCAATTGAGGCCAGGATCAGACTGGTTGGCTGCTGCAGTGCATGGCATAGCCACTGGTCGTTCTGGATGTTCCACCGTTCCAGTCACTGGGCTTTTATATATATACTAGAGGCCCGGTGCATAAAAATTTGTGCACTCGCGGGGGAGAGGGGGTCCCTCAGCCCGGCCTGTGCCCTCTCGCAGTCTGGGACCGCTCGGGAGATAATGACCTGCTGGCTTAGGCCTGCTCCCAGGTGGCAGAGGGCAGG